GAAGCTTAAATTGATGTTTTGTGCCATCGATGGTGTAATGAACAAAAAAAGTTCTGTAATCAGAACTAGGAAATGAAGCAGGTATCAAAAACTTTTTGAAGGTTAGAAATACTGTCCGTTGACTTAGGAGAGGTTTTATTTCCCTCTTCTCTGGGACTCAGCTAAATGACCTCGTAACTGGGCTTTTCCATTTCCTATCTGAACTAGAATATTGTTGTTTATGGTTTCTGCCAAAATACACACCTGTGACTTTCCACTAGGCAAAGTGTAGTGTTGCTTAAAGGAGTGTAGTAAAAGACTGAGCATTGCCTGTTTGATCAGTGGACCCTAAGATAAAATTTTTCTATACCTTGCTATGCAATAGCCTTAGTTAAATCCCAGAAAGCACAGATGCTGTAATAGAGGACAGGTTTTGATTGCTCTTTCCACATTTTTTTTAAATTGTGTTTTGTTGGTTGCTTACAAGCCTTGCAGTCACCTTCGTTAGGGCCCAGCTGTTGACAGTGTTTCCCATCTGTCTCATTTGCTACTTGAGCATATTTGGGAAAAGTTCACTCAGGTGTAGCAAAGGAAGTACACGTTTGGATTAAATGATGTGCGTCCCACAGAGAACGTAGGGCTGATACATAAACGGATTCAAATATATGATATAATTGATATATCAAATTTTGCATTTCCTTGAACTCAGCAGCTGCTGCTGTGGATTTTAGACTGCACAGAGTTGATTTGATTTTTGTTGTTTTTTAACCCCTTCCTTCCCTCACTGCTGGTCCTACGTTACCCACCTTGCTCATTGTCCTTCCTGCTCTGCTCCTGTTATGTTGCTTATTCCAGTACTGGTAACTGCTATATGCAGAAAAAGGGGATGAGATAAAAGAAACCTGGCTATAAGTGGCAAAACATGGTGAATGTTTTCTGGGCTTCTATTAAATCTTTTCACAATGCACCTTACAAAATCTAGAAATTAAACAAATAGCCGAGAATATCCTTAGACCTTCTGAGCAGCACAGATTAGCTTCTAGTGTCAGGGTTACCAGGCAGGGCAGTTCTCTCTCGATTTCTCAGGTCATTAGGGGCAATCCAATGTGCTTAGAAATACAATCACAAGGAGTTGTCTGGGTCGATATGGATTCTCAGATGTCTGCTGGCATCTGTTAAACATCCTGACTTCTCTGTTGTGCCATGCTGGGTGGACAAGACTAGTCTGAAGACCAGCTGAGTATAACCCTTCATCAGCAAGACTGTTGATTGCTTTCTTTTATCACGCTGCTAATTAACGTGGCCATATGCAAAAGGACATAAAAGAGAGAGAGGATTGTGCACTGGAAACTTAACAGCGTGGCTTCCCAAACAAATTTCAGTGGTTAATTGTTTCAAAACAAACAAACAAACCTGAGTATCTTAATTTATCCATATTTAAGTAACTGTGTAAGCACTTCAGAGAACCGTGTGTAATCACTTTCAGAGAAATGGTTTAAATAGCAGGTACGTTTTTCCTTTTTTTTTTCCCCAAGGTGTACGTTTCTGTAACTTTCTTATCATTCTTTACTAATTTGCTTGGTCTATCATTGTAGACAGATCTCAGCGTGCTTTCTTCTTGGCAGCTTGTAATCGTTGTTGCATCAATCTGCTCTACAGAGCTGTAGGAAAACACTCCCATTTCCTCTAACATATTTCAAATGAAACAAGATTCTGGACAGGCACCTGCACATGATTGGAAATCATATTTGGGAGGATTTTTGTGTGGTTTTGCTTATAGTTTTCTGTGCAATACTTACAGTCTGACTTGCTTTAAGAGACAACTGTGCACTTTCACTTGTTATTGCTGCTGAGCTTTGGATGCAAATAATTATAGCAAATAATCAATATTGCTGTGGTGGACTTCTCTCTCAGTAGCGTCTGTTATTGTGCTCCCTTGTACAGTACCATTGACCAAACAGGTCGTGCAGTAGGTCTCACCAATTAGTGGAAGCATCTGTATGAGATGTGTGATGAAAGTAACAGTCCACTGAAAAAAAAAACAAAAACACAACATCACTTGGATCAAAGCTCAGTCATATTCTCACGAAGTTCACATCTGTCTTCCTTTGTTCTCTTTATGGCTTGTGCTTATAACTTCTGTTTTGGGCAGCTAATTTTTCTTGCGTCTGCTGACATTTCACCACTTGCAAAAGCGTGTTTACAAACTGAAGTGGCCTTCTGCTTGCAGTGCTGGAGCCAGACTGGCTTCTCTGGGTCTCTTGCATGAAGCTGTCAGTTCTGCTAGTTCCTTGTGATGTTGCTTTCTGATGGAAGTGATCAGTCCCTAAACCAGCCTCTCAATGAGCAGTTTTTCTCTGGCAGCTGTTGTCTGAATTGCCGTAATACAGTGTCTTCTGCAAGCTGCGTGGCTGGGACCTGGAGCCTGCTGCAGGCTGTCTCTGTGGCTGGGCTGTGCAGCCTGGCAGTAAATGTCCTAGCGTTAAAGCAGATGTGTCAAAATCAGATTTCAGTAAAGACAAACTGGGAAGCTTGATCTATTTTATGGTCTTGGAACAAAATCATGCAGCATTCTGATATAACCCCAAATTGGGTAAAACATTCATTTCAGTTGGGTTTCTGCTTTGAGATTTTGGGATTGATGAATCCAAAAATTTTCTACCAGGTAAGTTTGCTTGTGCCTCTGTGGAATAAAAGCTCAGAGGTTCTTAGCCACATTGTCCATGCCTATGCACGTGATCTCAAATGCAGAAATACCGAAGATCTCTATTTGTCATAGGTACTATCTTGTTGATTATATCTTGTTCTGGAAAGAATAGCTTTATCTAGAAAATCCTATTCTCTTTTTTTGTTGTTTTTGTCTGGCAATGCTTGCAACATTTGGTGGTCTCTGGTTTCTGGTCACATCTGTTTGAGCCTGATGATTTATTTTTCACCTGTCTTTGATCTCTTTAGCAGGTGGTGCAATCTCAGAATTGCTATGAAGACATTCTTCCTTATCTGCCCCTGTTCTTTCCTGTATTGGCACCATAATATGGAAAATAGATGAAATGCTCAGTCAGAATGGACTGACTATAATGCAGCAGCCTGATTGTTCATGGATTCAGGGAGTGACTTTTATAAGAAATGAATATTGAAGAGGAAATGGCCTTCATTCTTCCTTAATTGCCTCTTCATCGAACAGTGTAAGATGCTGACTCTCAGGTCATGCGATTTGCAAAAAGACTTAATTGGACTGCCTTTGTGTTGTCATATATCACTATTTCTCAACTGAGCTGGTACCCAACACGTTGCCACTCCAGAGCTTGTCAACCTTTTTTTTAAAGTAATTTCTTTTGTTCCTGGATTGAAGAGTACCTGAAGTGTATGGTGTTTATTCCTGATACCGTATGGCTTTGCATCCTACAGACTTCCCTTTCTCTGCTGTTCATTCTCATTTCAGCGAGCTGTAGGTCCTTTCTCTGCTAGCTGCACTACCTTCCTAGCTGTTCTGTTAGTTCAGTGCGATGTCTTCTGTGCTGACATGCTTAGTGAAACACTGCTACTGATTATGTGCCAAGTTTGATTTCATCTCAAGTGGATAGAGACGTAAAGTGAAGAATCAAGACACCCTCTGAAGTCCACAAAAAATGAATCTTCATAGAGTGGATATTTTAGACATGAAGGATGACTCTGCTTCTGGGAAAAGGAACAAAGGAAAGTAGCTGCAGATAAAATACTCAGTTTATATGCTTTCATCTAGACTGTAATATGAAGAGCTGTGTTGGCAGTTTCTTTCCGTCCTTGCAAATGTTTTTATTCTGTTTCTTTCCTTTAAGATGTACTACCAGAAACAATTGGTTTCCTCCTTTTCTGGTGTATACTAGCAGTTACAGAAGAAGCAGAGCCAATATTTATCCTAACTGCAACTGTATTTTTTCAGTAATCCTTCCAAGACTTAAAGATGAAATGAATAACAATGTGATCGTATGAAAAACAAAACATATGGAACTCGAATTTTTAAAAACAATCTTTTGTTTTATTTCTCTTCTATTTCTGGATCAAGAATAGAAAAACGATGAATGCTCGGAGCTTCTTCCCAGCTGTACTTCAACCTTTTATTTCTTAATGACATTTGTAATATTTTCTTTGTGGGAATGGCAAGAGACACTTTCTCTATCCAGTACCTACAGCCTGATCCTTCTGCACTAGACCAACAGCTTGCTAAAAGAAAGTTTTCATTCCTAATGCCCCTTGTTTTGTAGTGACTTTGACGGTTCCTATGCAATTACTTCATTTTTTTCCCTAGATGTAATTATTGAGATATCTCTATGTATTTAAATTTTCAAAGTACACTGCAGACATTAAAAGCCAAGAAGAGGAGTAATAAAGAGATGTGTTAATTTATGGTCGGAAGTGTGCAGTAATAGCGTGAGATACAAGCATGGGAAGAGAGGAGGCATTTTAAATCGGAAGGATTTTTTAAATCTGGTATTTTCATTTCCGGCTCTGGTACAGTGGTCTGCTTAATGAAATTTGTTCCCACGTGTACAGTATTAATTTTCTTTGTTCTTTCTGCTTATAGTACAATTCACATCTTTTCTAGAACGCTGTCATGTCAATTCCACCCGTATGTGGCGTGGCTGAGCTCACAAGCTTTCAAAGATACACAGGCAATGGTTCTCTAGATTATTTTAAAGCCTATTATTTGCCACAGACTCCAGCCTTCATTTCTGTTAAAACTTCTTTGTACAGTGTATATGTCCTTGGTTTATCTTCTTCCATCTTCTATTTTATTTTTTGGTATGCGTAGTTTTGTACAGTACGTGTCAGATACTGACTTGCTGGTAGCACATAGTGATGTTAGTTTTTGTGTCTGTAAATAAAGATGTATGTTTTATTTCCTAAAGTCAATGGTTAAGTCTTGGCTTCTCCGTGCTTCATTATCATTTATATTGTGACAGTGGCTGGGAATCCCACAGCACAGCTCTGGTGCAAATGCAGATGCATTGTACCTTCACCACAGCTGGTGTGTTGTGTTCCTTTTGTTTCGATTTTGTTTTTCTTTTTTTTTTCTTTAATGGGGCATTTGGTTGCAGTAGTAAATCTCTAATGTAATAAAAAGCGCTGTGTACCTGAGTGCACATGAGACAGCTGTGCTGAAAGGGGGGCTGAGCACAAAGTGTGCTGCGTGTAGCCGGGGTAACTGGATGTGAAATATAACTGGATTAGATCTTCAAAAGTTATCATTTTAATAAATTAAGGGGTCTTAGAAAAAGAAGCAAGGATATTCATTAGCAAAGCTGTTTAAGAACAAGGCAATCTAACCCTTCCTGCAATCCATAATTCAATTGCTGGTAGAGAGGCAATTGATTATTGAACTGACTCGACCATAGCTTCATTACTGCATGGAAAGAAACAACTTCGACTTTTTTTTTCAAGGAGAATTTTAGTAGTGCATTATTCTTTTGGGATGCTTGAATACTTGGTGAGTTATGTTGGGATGTTTCCTCTTTATGCGCTCTCTAGCTATGACAGCATACAAGGGATTTCAGTTTTACAAATTCATAGATTGAATGTGGAGATCTTGGCTCCGAGATTGCTCTTTGGAGTCAGTGGCTGTACGTGACATGTCAGATAGGGCTCAGGAGATCCCCGGAGGTCAGTGCTGTTAAATCCCAAGCAGAGCTCGTCTGTGACATCGTCACCTGGGAACGTGAGCTCACGGAATTGCTTTGCCGAGCCCTGTGTAGAGATGAAGGGCATGGTTGATACAGCCCTGGTCACCTGGCCTTTGATCCCTGGGTGATGGCAGTGAAGTCAAAATCTTGTTTTCGTGGTCTTGGTGGCTTGGGCATTGCCTTGGATTTTTGGGATATGCAGATGTGATAAAACCACAGGTGCTACCTAAGTCATGATTTCCTCACACTAAATAGTGCTCTTTTAAAAGTTCCAGTAATGAGTACTTCTGTTGTTTTATAGCTTTATAAGAAAATTAAACTGGAACAATAGAGTGGCAATTCATTAAAATAGCACGTAAAATCTTAAGGAGAAGGAGGGAGGACTTCATCTTTTTTAAATTGTCAAATAGATCCCAGTTGCCGGGTAAGGTGAATTTAAACATTCTGCTGCTCTGTTACGAGAACCAGAACTCAGATTCATTCTGACCAACACAGCGATGTGCTGCACCTTCAGAAGTGTTACACTTCAGGCTTGTCTCGTTAGAGGATTTCTCCTAATGGAAGGATTAGGTCTTAAAGGTGATGCTGGTGGCACTTCAGAAATACTGAGTACAGAGGCTTACAGAGAGTGACTTATTTTATTATTTATTTTATTATCATTATTTTTTTTACTGCTGAATTTGTGCGGCTTTAGAGTAGCCCATCTGACTGATGACTGCCATGAAGACCCTGGGGAGCAGGTGCACCCTTGGGGTGTTATCTTGTGCTTTCTACCTTCCACTGGTGGTCTCCTTTCGAAGAGTCACCATCCCGGCAGAGCTGAAGTCGGTGGTTGCTAAAGTCGCCGTGAACGCCACGTCCTGCAGCGTCACCTGCGGGCTGGGCTTCAAGCTGGAGGAGATGTGCGAGATCACCCCGGCCGGGGAGAGGAGGAACTGCACCATGCGCAGGTCCCCCTGCCTCACCACCTGGGGCTGTGGTTTGCTCCATTTCACCGTCCCGGTGGGCAAACCGTTCAACTTCAGCTGCCTGAGCTCGGACACGGTCGAGTTCGTGAGCCGAGCCTATACCTACACGTGGAGGCTCGCCCCAGGGCTCATCACCATGAACGACGTCCTCTTTGTACCTTTCAGAAACCCTGGTTTTGTCGTGCAGTTTTCCCCCACCAGGGAGTCGGACGCGGGGACGTACCGCTGCGATGTGCGGATGCTGAAGACGTTCAGGGTCATCAAGAGAGTCTACTTCGGGGTGAGAGTGATCCGAAAGGACTTTGTGGATCTGAACTTCCAGAAGTCCTTGACTCACGAGCAGCAGCTAGCAGCGAATGAGGTGGAAGGAATCAAAGGAAACAACACCAACGTAGAAGTGCAGCAGCACTTCTGGCAAAGAAAATCATTTTATAAATCCCTGGTAGGAATTGGAAGCGGAGTGATAGGAGTTGTCTTGCTGAGAGTGGCTCTCCGCTCCTTGCAGAAGACTTTGAGGAGAAGTGATGCAGAGACACAACCTGAGTTTTAAGGCAATCGCTGTTCTCTGTCTTGTTTATTATAATAAATCTAGCAATATTAGTATTGACGCAGCATTTAATGGTGAGGTTTGTTAATTTGGCAGTTTGTCTGTTACCAGATTGCGAAGCTTAATGAAAGGATTGGTAAGTTAGCACCGGAGCGTGGGTCTTAGTGGTGGAGTGCAGGCAGTGTCTCCAGGTGGGGCAAGGCTCTTGTTCCCTGCATGGTGTGAAAGGGTGGCTGATGTTCTTCACCCCTGCAATGATCCAGACAGAAGTTCAGAGGGCACTGAGCCACAGAAAACTGCCCGACACTCCTCTAACCAGCCTTCATTTTACCTCTAGTTGCTTTCTTTGTTTATTTTGTAGCTGATAACTTGGAACCCTGCTTCTGCCTTATTGATTCTTCTGCCTTGCCCAGAGCTGTGGCGGTGCGGGCTGACCCAGATGGCTGCTTTTGGTAGGTGGTGTTCTCCAGGAAGAGGCACAAAGAAGCGAGGGTGCAGCAGCTGGGCTCAGAAACGTGGTTTCCAGGCTGCCTGCTGTCCCCATCAAACCCAAGCACTCCACCCTAAGGAGCTGGGTGTGCAGGGACGAGGTGAGCCACCGCTGCCTGCTGCCTCTACAGATGTTTGTCTCCCGCCGCTGGAGCTCAGGAAGCAAGTATCAAGTGAGAGCTGGGAGCTTCCACTCTCCTTTGTAGTTCAGAACAGCGAGGCAGGGAGCAGTAGGAAGCAGAAGCCAATCTTCAGTTTGAGCACGGCTGCTTGGGAACGTAACGGGGTGTTTTTAATCACAGCTCCGAGCTCAGCTCACTCCTAAAAATCTTTAAAGGGGGAGGAGAGGGAAGAGTTCAGTGGGCTTGTGGATCTTTCATTTGTCCTGGTGACTAATAAGTATAAAACATGCAGCAACTCAGTAGGGAGTACTGGTTCCCCCTTGGTCGCAGAATCCACAGAGGGACCTATTAAGTGCCTTCTCCTTCTAGTTTCTGCCTCAATTTTAGAGTAAACAACTATATTTACCAAGTCCATTTCCTTTTTTCCATGAGCTAAGGTACAGGAATGCGTAGTACCTCCAATTCTGTGGAAAATAATGATACAGCTCTAATATTTAAGATCAAAGCGTACTGGTTTTTTCTTTCTGCCAGAACAAAAAAATGCTTTAATGTAGAAAGAGTTGGATATACAAGGAAATGCCTTGTTTGCAGAGCCTCCTGTGTAAGGAACAAAAACTGAAATGCAGCGAGCCAAGTCTTCATGTATGATTAAGTAGCTAATAAGTTTATTGAGACAATGAGCTGTAGAGCACGGGGCTGCCTGGCCGTGTCTGAGCGGAGAAGCAAGATCGGGCTGGAGTTCTCAGTTTGTAGCTCTGCCAAGCTCCCGGCTTCTGTGGGAGGACTTTGGTGGGCACAGGCGCTGCAGAAGTCTGTAAACGTGAAGGGAGCCGTTCAGCAGGGACAGAAGGTGCCTCTTTTCCTAGCAGCCTGGCTCTGGGGGGCACGTGGGAGCCCTTGGGAAGATGCGTGGTCCCCTTCTTCTGGTTTCTTCTGTGCTCAGCGCTGGCTTTGTCCTTGCTCCACTGTTCCTTCTGGCTCTGCAACTCCTTCATCTGCTTCTGTTCCTTCACTAGAAGCACACGCTGCTTCCTCTGAGCCTTACTCCAGTATTTCCCAGTCTCGAGCTCGCTGCGGCTGTCCTCATCTGTGGTCAGCCTGCTTCCACCTCCTGTGCCTCTCCAGGCCCTGTCTTTTAGCATTCTTGTGTTGCTTCTGCAAGGACCATTCGCTGCCTTCGTGCAGCAGCCTCCGTCTGTTCCCGTTAGCCCTGCTTTGCCTCTGGGCTTTCTCTGCTTTTGCTGATGCTCCAGCCGGGTGGCCGAGGAGCTCTGCACCAGCCATGTCCTGCAGCAAGCTGATGGGGCTCCTGTGGCAATGCGCCTGACAAGGAGCTCTGAGCTTTTTTTGGGCCATCAGGGGTGGCTGGTGGTGGGCACACGTCTCTGGCTGCTTCTGCTCCTTGGTTCGCACTGAGCCTACTCTGAGGCTCAGCAACATCTCCCTAATTTGGGGACCGGGTCCATGTAGTTGGGCTTTTACTGGCTTCCTCATTCTGCTGCGCGAATAAGAGCTGAAATCGTATCTTTGTATCTCAAGCGTGCTCATAAGATCAACGTGAAAAAATTATTACAGCAAACTCCACGATTTGCACTGATTTGCCGTTAAACTTCCTTGATACCTGCTGTAGGTTAAACGGTTTCTTTTATCCTAAAACATATTTCTTATCAGCTGAAGTAAAATCACGGCAAGCCACTTCTAAGCAGGGTGAAACGCGTTGACTCAGCCTCTTGCCCAGATTTAACACCGCCCTTTGAGCTGGCTCTAACAAGTGAGACCTGGATTTTGGCTCTTCTCAGTGCCTCGTCTTCTCACCCCCAAGGAATTCTCTTTCCCAAACCTGTACAAAGCAGCAGCAGCAGCAGCAAGCTGCCCGCTGTGCACTCATGCTTCAGGCACCCTGGGGAGCCTGCTGTGTGCCTGGCTGCGCTCATCCAGTCCGGATCTCTCTGTCGATGGCTTTCCTGGTGGTGGGTGCCCATGGTGCACAGCCCTAGATATGCAAAAGGACCCTTTTACCCTGTTAAATATAGCAGGGCAAAGAACACAAACAGTTAATAAAAACTGCAGCAGGCACCTTCTGTGCACAGGATTTAGAGAGCTCTGTTTGCTCGCGAAATAGGAAGAAATGGGTAACAACTTTGTAAGCTGGGGATGCTCGTGGTAGGAGAGAGGAGGCTGTGGGGACCCCTCTGTGCTGAAGAACCCCCTGCTAGCAGGAACAGGCTTCTGCTGGGTTTGGGAGCTGATGGTTAAAACCAACAAAGAGAGGCTGACCCATCTGGAAGGGTCTCCTTGTGCTTTGTAATGCAAATGCAGGGCTTGCTCCTGTGGGCAGCTGTGTTTTAGAAATGCAGAGAGATTACATGAAAGGTCCAGGACAAGCCATTTTCTCCCTGCTTAGCTGAGGAGGTCAGAGTGGGAGCCCAAAGGGTCCTTCATCTTTTTATTGCATTTATTTTTTATTTATTTTTTTTTGCCAAGGGGAGCAGGAAAGATGAATGCATTTTTTAAAGTTAATTTAAAGATGGAAGGCAGCGATGGAGAGCGAGGCTCCAGCATCAGAAAGGATGGAATGAGGTCTCTTATTGATGTGGCTGCTGCTAGAAGTGGTACTTTCCCTGTAAGCTTTTGTGTTTTACAACAATCCGAAGTGTTTTTCCTAATGTTTGCTTTAGCAGGTCTGCTGGGGGATGGAGAGGAAGGGAGGGAGAGCAGGCTGTGCTGCGGGGTAAGAGGTTACAGAGGGGGAAAAGGGAGCTCAGATGGACAGGGAGGAAGCAGCCGAAGCAAGGACCCTTAGAAACATCACTCTCTCCTCCTCCCTACGTGTTCCCATCTCCTCCCGTGTTCTGCACGTTTTCTGAGTCACCAAATCTGTTCTTCCCGAAGTAAGCATCAGATCTGCAGGAAAATGTCTTTCCCTGCCCTGACTTTGTAATACAGTGCCCAAACTTCTTCCTCCACCGTTTATTTCAGCAATTGCTTGTCTGCCTCACCTGGAGGAGAGGACTGCAGAGGCTGCATGCGAACCCAGCGCTGCTTGCTGCCAGTTCCCAGCCAGAGATTTTTTTTGTGGTACAAACTTCTGCTGCCTGCTGATGGTCCTAGGTATTAGGAAGCAATTAGCATTGTACATGCTAAAGCCAGACAGATTGTGTGAGGGAGGAAGTCAATTTGCTAATGGAATTAGCACTTGGAAAGGAGGAGGTAATAACAGAATGGTGAGGCATAGGCAGCTGTTTAAATTGCTGTTAGCTACTGAAGCTTATCTAAATTGAATAACTAGATTGCCTTAACTGCTGGAATTTGAATGGCAGCAAAGAGAAAAACAACCCCCATATGCTGCTTTTACACCGAGGCAGTGCCTGGGCTCCCATTCTCTGCGCGCTGATCTCTGGCACTCCTCCTGCCTGGCCCTGCAGTTGCCTGCAGCAGGCGGGTGCTCTGCTGGGATGCAGCTCTCCGACTTCAGGTGTCACAGAAAGGCAGCGAGCTATTTCCCCTCGCTATTTCTGTCTACAAAAACCTCTCTCCTGGGCCAGGGCTTGCCCAAATCCCGCAGCAGGGGCTGTCCTCGCAGTGGCTGCAGCCGTGCGGGGAGGCTTTCTGCAAATACACAGGTGCTCCTAGAAAAAAACAAAACAAAACCAAAAAAAAAAAAAAAAACAAATAACACAACAGTGGTGGGTCTTAAACGCAGCTGGTGGTGGGGTTACAGTGTGTGGCCCTGGCTCCATGGGAAGAACTGGGATGGGGGGGTGTCGGTGGTGCTCACAGCACCCTGCACCCAGCATCGCTGCGGCACGGCGTGCTCGTGTTCCCAAAGGCGCCTCCTGCTCACCAGGGAGGACACGTTTCTGCTCGGTCCTGTGATGCGCGGTGGCATTTAATGATGGCTCTTGAGAAAGCAGAAGTGCCCTCGCAGAGGACGGAGCGGGGAGCGATTCATCTCCGTCCTGGCCGCTCCCTGCTGGGTGCTTTAATGACGCTTCCCTGCCCTTTACAAAACCCTTTTGCTGCCCGACTCCCAGAGCTAATTACGGGGCTCCGGCACCGAGCAGCTCGCCCGTGGCTTTGCACAGCACGGGGCAGAGGGGCAGGAGCCTGCGAGGGGCCAGAGCACAGCTGAGCCCGGCCTCCTGGGGCCTCGTCCTGTCCTCCCTGCCATCAGCTTGTTATCAGGCACCTCCACCTGGGGCAGCTGGGGCTCCTTGGAAAAGAAGTGGCCGCTCTGCACCACCTTCGGGGGAACAGTTGGGGTTATTTACAGTGTTTTTGCTGAAAGAGGCCCTTCGGGTTTTGTTCCAAAAATGAGACTTGGATCTGCGGTGCTTTACTCTAAAAGTGTATTCCTTTCTTTTTTTTTTTTTTTTTTTTTTTTTTGTGAGCTGTTTTATAGGGTTTTAGCCCGTAAATAGAAATAGTTTAACGTGGTGATTGTTTTACAGGCTGCATAAAAGCAAACACATCCCGGATGGAGCTGAGGGAAGGGGTTTGGGTGACATCTTCTATGGCCGGTGCTGCTGGGCCCCCTTCCTCCCCTGTCCACTCCTCAGCTCCAGCAGGGCCCTCAGCCTGTGCCACGCACGGCTGCTCCACTTGATCTCTTGGCACCCTTCCTGAAGGTGGAAGGAAGCTAATAGATTTTTTTTAAGGCCAGAAGGGGTGACTGTGATGAATTCATCTGACATAACGTAGACCAGGTGATTTCATGCAGCGCCTCCTGCGATGATGGAAATTATTTTCAGTAATGGAAGTGAACCTTTGCGAGCCTGCTAGCTCGTGGCTGATCTCATGGATATCTTTCCTGGAAGATTTCCAGCCTTGGTTTAAAGGCTGCGATTGATGATGAAGCTTTTTTGGCAAGCTATTTCGAAAATCAATTACCCTTTTTGCTAATAAGCTGCGTGAGATTTCTGACTTGAGGTTTCCAGCATTACTTTCCGGGTGTTGGAATACCAGCCAGGTAAAGCACGTTATGTTGATGTATTTAACCAGCCCCTCCATAACCTCAATTCCTTGCCCCAAGGACAGTCTCTCCTCTTTCCATCAGTTATCACTGCCTTGGGATAGAATTGGAGTTGACGATGTCTTAATTGAA